AGCTTTTGGCCAAGGCTTCTGCCTCCTCAAACCCCATTGTCTCATCCCACCAGCCCATTCGTCAGACCAGGAAAACTGAGGCTACCTTCTGCAGCCAGGCCCAGAATCTTACTGATCCCTCCTCCCCCATTGAGGATTCTGGGGCCCCTTCTGTTGGATTTTGCTGGCCCCACTCAAAGGCTGCCAATGCCCAGTGGCCCCTGATCCTAGCCAGGGGGCAGACCAGTTAGAACCTCATGTCCCACTCAAGCTGGACAATTTTTTTTTTTTTTTTGAGATGGAATTTTGCTGTTTTTGCCCAGGCTGGAGTGCAATGGCATGCCCTTGTCTCACTGCAACCTCTGCCTCCCGGGTTCAAGCGATTCTCCTGCCTCAGCCTTCTGGGTAGCTTCTGCCTGCCACCATGCCCAGCCAATTTTTAAAAATAATTTTAGTAGAGATGAGGTTTCACCATGTTGGCCAGGCTGGTCTCGAACTCCTGACCTCAAGTCAGGACCCACCTCAGCCTCCCAAAGTGCTGGGATTACAGGCGTGAGCCATGGTGCGCATGGCCATCAGGCTGGACAATTTTGAGATCTATTTCTTTCCCAATGTAGGGTAAAGGTTGGGACAGGGAAAAGGGGTAAAAACCTGATTCCAGCTCCCTGCCCGGGGCTGTATTCTCCAGCATCCTGATCACTTCTCATTCAACCTTGCTTGTACTCCCCTTGGGATGGGTGGCTCATTACCTCAAAACAGAATATTCTAAGCCAGCCCCCGTGTTCTCTCACCAAGTAAGATTTCCCATTTGAACCCCAGATCCCTGAAGGCCTTCTGTGGATCATATTCTCAAGGTCCCCTGGCCAGCTGCTTGCATGTTCCAGGTTCTATCCTCCCCGACCCACATCTTGAAATGTCCCCTCCCCCTCTCCAGGATGAGCAAGGTGGTGTCCTCTGAGACTGAGTAGTCAGCAACTTAACCCCAAGGGCCACCAATGATCAAATCCATGAGAGTTGATCTGAGGAGTTATGTATTAGGACTAAGAAACAGTAAACACTCAGTAAATATTGGCTGATATTATTATCACCATCATCATTATTGCCCTCAAGGTCCTCCGGGAGAACTCCTATTCATCCTTCAAAACCCCATGTGGTTTCACCCATCCTGCACAGATTGAGCTCAAAATCAGAGACTTGCGATTTTGTGATCATTTGATGAGTTCCCAAACTGGAGTCCTTGGAGCAGCTGGGCCACCCCTGAGGTCTCTCAGCATTCAACTCTGATCTTTTCCTGCCTGACCATTTCCTGGGCATGGGCCTCAGGCCCGGCCAGTCCGGCTGAGGAGAGTGCAGACACAGGCAGTGTCAATTCGAATCCATCGCCAGCCCACACGGCCCTGGGCATCAGCAGTCAATGCACGCACATAGGACTGCTTGGCCTTGCACTCGGACACCCAGTGCCTCCGATCCACACCTCGGCAGCCCCCTCCACCCACCCCCGGGCCACCTTCCTCAGCGCTATCAGCCTTGCAGCGGGTCTCAAAGAAGTACTGGCGGAGGGGACTGCCACCAGCTGCAGGCACCTCGCCCAACACCTCCACCTCACGCCCACGCAGGTCCACAGCCGTCCGACGGTCTGTCACCCAGCCACTGACTGCGTCGCACACGGCCAGCTCTCCCCGACGACTCGCTGGTGCAGTTTCGCTCACCCCACGCCGGCTGCGGTTGGCCGGGGTGCCTGTTGACTCCCCAAAGGCCCCAGCCTCCAGCAGCAAGAGCAGAGGGGGCCCAGCAGGGGCACCCCTAGACAGGACCACTCGGGGAGACAGAAGGTCCCACTCCGGGGCCAGGAAAGGGGGCAGTGTCGAGGGTGGGGGTTGGGACTCCATTGGCACACTGGGGAGGAGGGAGAGGAAGAGGATGGGGAGGGAGCATGGGGGCAGAAGGAGCATCTCTTGGAGCACCTGGAGACAGACAGAGGGAGGCTGGGATTAGAGAAGGAGGTAAAAAACGTCAGTGGGGACAGAAGTTGGGAACCCCAGGGGAGGCTTGCCTGCTTGGACTGTGGGGAAGCCATTGTTCCAGATGTTTGAAGGACCCTATATCTAGGACTTGTGTAATGCCCAACTTGTAGATTAATAATTAATATTCAACTACTACTGGCCAGGTGCTGTGGCTCACGCCTGTAATATCAGCATTTTGGGAGGCTGAGGTGGGTGGATCA